CCCCCCCCCCCCCCCCCACGCGCTGCTCTGTCGTGCCTGGGGGTACTCAGTCGCAACACAGGGTGACTGTTTCCCACTGCCCCACGCCTAAGACCCAACCCCACCAACACCCCAACAATGCCAGGTTCATCATGCACAGCAAGAAGACGGCCTTCATCGTGGAGCACGACTTCATCATGGCGGCCTACCTGGCAGACCGGGTGGTGGTCTACGAAGGCCAGCCGTCAGTGGATGCCACGGCGCGCACGCCGCAGTCGCTGCTGACGGGGATGAACCTGTTCCTGAAGAACCTGGAGATCACCTTCCGGCGAGACCCCACCAACTACCGGCCGCGCATCAACAAGAAGGAGTCGCTCAAGGACCGGGAGCAGAAGTCGGCGGGGACGTTCTACTACCTGGGCGACTGAGTCGGTGATCGAGCGGTCGGCGAGGGCAGTGAGGAGGCCTGGACCGCGGCAGGGCGCTCGGCGTGCTGGCTCGAGCTGCCGGCAAGGGTTCGAGCACCATGCTTGCGGAAGCTGAAGACAGGTGTGCCCAGGCCGCCTGGGAGCCGCGTCAGGCGGCGTGTTTGGGTGAGCGTACGGCTGCTCGCGTGTCATGGCATGTCAGGCTGCGACTGCCTGCCCCTGCAATGCGCGGACTGTGGCGCAAGGGGGCCTTTCGTGCCCTGTCCGCTCCCTGCTGACCCTGGCTGCATGACTCTTCCTGCTCACTTCATGTAGAATACAAGACACCACAGTCACCCGGCTTCCAGATATGCATGCAAGGTTGGGGCGGTGGTCGCATTCAGGCCAGGCACCCTCTGCGCAAACAGGACGTAGGTGGCGCGGATGCCGTCTGCGCCCCTGGACCCCATCTCCGTGTCGTCACCCTGGCTGGCATACCCGGCTGCGGAGGGGGAGCGGGGGTTGGGGAGAAAAGGGGTCGCTGAGGCATAGACAAGGCTTGGCAGGGCAACTTGGAGGAGGCGGGCCCTCCAGCGCGGGCAGCAGCATAGGGGGCTCGAGGCACCCCAGACTTCTGCAAGCGTCCACAAGGAAGCAGGCGCATTCTGGCCATCGCCTTCCCTCTGAACTACTCCACAGCACACACGCACCGCTGGTATAGCCTGCAGAGGCGTAGCCGTCCGAGTAGGCAGGCTCGGAGGCCGCGCCTGCATACTCTGACCAGGGTTCCAGCTCCAGGCTGACCAGCTTCCTCTTCTTGAACCTCTTGCGGCTTTTTCTGGGAGGATGAGGGGGGTTGTTGGCGACTGAATATAGACTGCATCCTCGCACCTCCCCAGACTGCGTACCGCTTGGCATTTAGTCAAACCATGCATGTCACAACAGCTAAACATGAGGGGCACCTGCTGTTGCTCAGCGTGTGGTGCAGGTAGTTGGCCAGGGGGAGCAGCGGGATCTGGGAGGACGCTGCCAGCAGGAGGCGCAGCACCTCCTCGTGCACCTGCGGTGGTTGGGGCCAGGAGAATGCAGGCGGGTGCCTGGAACAGAAGGTGCGAGGCGGTGGACACTTTCACCTGAGCATAGCGCGCCGGCCTAGCCCAATGCCTGGTTGGTGCTTGCTCCCCAGCAGCCTCAACAGCACATGCGCATGGCTGCTTCTCGCAACACAAGCCAGGGAGAAAGAATGCTCACCGCTGTCTCGGAGTCGACAAGCTTGACGAGCACGCGGTCTACCGCCAGCTGCCAGATCCCATCCTCCACCTTCACCGCGCCCTCTGTGCTCTCGTAGAATGGGCCAACAGCGGGGTGCACATGAGCTCACAAACACAACACCGCCCCACTCCAGGGAAGCTCAGGAGTGACGCAGATGAATCCCCCCCTCATCACAACACCCTCCCAAGTTTGGGCGGCTGGCGACACATCTGCCCCCGCAAAACACCCATGCCCGTGCCTGTCAGCAGGATGGTCAGCTGGCGGGCGAGAGAGAAGCCAAAGGGCGCGAACTCGGGGATGGACTTGTCGGTCATGGTCTCCATGGCCCCCGCCTGGTGGAAGGAAGGGGAAAGGCCATGAGTCCGAAGCCACGGGTCTGGTCAGGGCTGCCCGGGCATACGCATGCAACATGAACCTGGCAAGCCAGGTTCACGCAGCTGTGGACTTGGGCGCCACCTTGAAGCAGCATCTGAAGGCCTGCCTTGCAGGCAGGGCACTGAGCCCTCGATTCACCGCTGTCAACCACACAGCATGCACCCTCAGCCTCTCAACCACCGAGGCACTCGCCATGGTCTGCAGCAGAAGAGTGGCCGTGAGGAGGTCCCGCTCCTCCAACCGCTCCAGTAGGAACATCTGCGCCACCTTCCGCACAGCTTCACTCCTGCTGAGGAGGGGCGTCAGGGTCTCCAGCGCCGCCGCCTCCGTCTCTGTGTGGAGGAAAGGGGGTTGCCGATGACAGCAGCGGCAAGGGCAAGGCCGACGGCTGGCGAGAGGTGCAAGGGGGGGCCACAGAGACTCTGCGCAGTGATTAGTCTCGGCCCTGTGCCACGATGCAGCGCGCCCCTGCTGGCCATCCTGTCACGA